AATTTTCAAAAACCCGCAAAATTCGCAAAATTTGCTATACTCAAAATTAACCTGCTATACAGTAGAATTATAAAACTTAATAAAACTGAACTGAGCAGAACACAACAAAAATGATTCAAAGTATGCACTTATCTATAAAAGATGATGCAATTAAAAAATATTTCAATAACACTAACCACTTGTACCAGTTTCAGATATGTGTTTCAATTGAACTGGTGTTAAACGTTCCTCTGGAAAGCCTCCGATGTCTACACCGCCAGTCTGATTTCCTATCTGCTTTATAGTTAATGGGGCAACTTCTCCTTCTCTAATAGTAATATGTAGGTCTTTAAAACCAATACCAAAAACTAATAGAGGGAATAATATACCTGTCACAATAAATTGGCTTACCATCTCGATTGTCAAGTCTTGCTACTTGAGTGTCAGGATCTAGTCTAACTCTAGAATCATTAACACTGAGTCTCCACCTAAACACTTCTTGTAACTCCACAATATTATCTCGTGGGATGAAGAAAGTCACATGTTCAAAAGGTTGATCAAATTGAAAGTGATATGCTGTTGTTGGTTGAAACATGATACTACGTTGCTCAGTAAAGTTAAAGAGATCTAAACTAAAAGAGTGAATAAATCATTAAAATCAAATGCATACCAAAGTCTCCCACAGCAGCTTCATCTCCAGTCAATGGGCCAGTATACCTCTCAAGTGAGACAGTGACTTCAAAAGGAGCTTCATATGTAATTATTTGACGTTCAACTCTAGCTATAGCACTACTGCCTTCTAATAATGGTGAATGAGAAAGGCATGTACATGATCTTCTCAAACTAACAGTAATTACTGAGCGTGAGAAAAAATAATATCAAATTCCAATGTACATACTGTCTATATCATCAATTGTAATACTAAGAAGTTTATATACAAGTACAGCTCCTGATGGTATTGGTGGATTATACCAACCAGTTTCAACAGCAATTGTGTAATTGAATGAAAGAGTTGGTTGGAGAGCAACTGCATTCCCTCGTGATACATATCCTATGTAAAACCTTTCTGGTAGCCAACAATTGGTTCGTCCAGTAAAATCTGAGCTTAAGTAGTCATCAACTGTGATCAGAGAAAAATAAATATAAAGTTTATAAAAATTATCTACTATCAACTGGCATAGCTGGTTCTCGTGAAATATTATAATCCAGATCAGTAACATCAGGAGCCCCAGGAGTACTGAGGAGTACATCAGCAGTAAATGAGTATCTTCTACCAGCATCACTTGGACCAATATGCACACGTGTTTGATCAAAACCAACAACTAGTAAATAATGAATATAAATGAGAAATAATAGCAACATTGAAATAAATAACAACACAGTGTTTCTGTTACAACTTTCTTACCAACACATGCACCACACTGTGCAGCTAGTGAAGAATGAGATATATATCCTCCACCAGTTCTATTACAGCAGTCAATAGCTGCAAGACTGACTCCATTAGTATTACTAGTACAATCAGCAGCAGATGAATAGCACTGTACAGTGACACATTCCTGTAATTGACCTTGAACTATACACAAAGTAAAATACTGGCAAATGCCTTTATGCTATAAATACAAATACATACCTCCAATCAATAGCAAAAGGAAAGAAAAAAACACCACAAGGGCCATCTTGACTAATGAACATTGGTCAATACCTTATATGGTCAATAATTTGTATGGTAATAACCAGTAATGTACTTACTCCAAATTAGTTAATACTCAGTCAAGCACTTCGAGCCAACAAACTCATTTGATGGGATGCCAGTAACATAAGAATGCTTTCTTTTTATCCTTACAATGCATAGGCATCAATACAAAGGGTTACAAAATGAGACTTTTAGTTAGTTATGAAACTTCAAATTTTGATTTTAATTTGTTTTAGCCTAGTTATGTTTTAATAAAAATACATTCAGAATAGTTAGTTATGCTCATTTCAAAATGAGTTAGTTATAATTAATTTTATAATTTTGATTGCGCTTTTAGCTAGTTTTCATTTTCTTAGGTAGATTTAGTTAGTTAACTAAAGGTAAATCTGGCCAACTAAAAGGTTTTTAGTTTTAGCTATAGTTAACTAAAACAACACTAGTGTCCACTGTGCATACTTTTATTTATTTTCTAGTTTAAATGTACTATTGGAGGAACACTGTTGTCATTCATCTTTATCTTTCATTATAATTTTCAAATTTTAGTAGGAGTATTCAAAATATAGGCCATCATTGAAGCACGTCACTCCTGCTATTTTGGTGGCCATATGACTATTAGTCTCGCATCTGAGCTCACTGCAACATTTCATAGTGACTGAGGGAGGAGCTGGCTACAGATGACTAATGGACTAATGCATAAATCTCTATGGCATAAAACTATTGACTGTAGGCTGCGGAATGGTCTGGCTAGTTAATTTTTTCGATACATTTGATTTTGTACTTAAATTAATCAATTCTATGGTTCAGGCTATCATTGCAATTCACATGACATTAAAGGCATGTATCCATATACACTAACAATCAAGTTTAAGCAGTCATTTCTCTTCTTAACATGATCTTCACGCTGCCAAAGACTAGCCCGGTCTTTAGAAAAGTATCAAGATAATGAGCCTAATAAAGATGCACTTGGTTTGATATGAATCTCATCAGTTGAGCTATTGACAAATAAACCAGAGCACTGTGGTCCGTCTAACTCTTTCAGATAATCAGCAACCATGGCATTCATTATTATGTCTTCTCCATTCATATTCTTGTCTATGAAAGAGTGAAGTGCTTCTGGAAGTGTCTCTGTGAACATTTCAAGATACAACCTATGTATAAACACAGAGCCTGTGAGTATCATTGAATAATAATGAGTGTCTCGTTTGCCACAGTATTTATATTGACTGTCTTGAAATGAGTGAGATCTTGGACAATACCAACTAGAAGATGAGGAAATGCCTATAGGACAAGAGATGGTTAGAGGTATTAGAAAACTTTTCAACTGGTGAAGGGGCAATTATAATGGATGATCCAATACAATATACTCAAGCAATAACATCACAATCCTTAATAGTTACAGGTACTATTATTCTATTAATATTGGAATGTAATAATTAGATATGCGATATATCAGGGCTCCTGGACATATAGATCTACAAGTACAATTATTAGTACCAACAAATTAAATCTACTAAGAGTAATTTATACCCATGATTAAAATGTTACTCTAAAATAAAATATTTAACTACATACATATCAGCAATCATACAGTATCTACATAATGCAATTATACAACTCCTACTTTGTTAAATAATTTTTGGTAAAAAAATTTGCAACTAAATCTTTGTGTTGGTTAAAATACATTTATACAGTGATAGTCTAGCAATAATGAAGAAATTATCCAAGCATGCATGCAGTAGATGACAGCCAAACAAGATCTCTTCTCTTACCTGCCATGCAGCAAAACCTTCTTCCATACCATAAGGATGAACCATTCGATCATCATCAACTGAAAATACTGCTACAAGAATGAAAATGATTATTATTTCACTGCATGCATGTTTTTTTACACTACCTTCAGTCTCTATTTCTGGGTATGGCCTAAATCGTGACGTTAATTTATTTTCCTTCATAATCTTAATCTTCACTGGTACTTGGCATTTGAAATCCTTTATTGGACCAGGCACTGGCTCTCCAACATTATTCCACAGGACTAATATTTTATGTACATTGGAAATGTTGCAATAATGACCTATGACCGTCAGCAATTGAAGGTTATGGTTATGAGTTGGCATAACAACGGTGAATTTGTTCCTTGTGTAGTTTTTATGATAGTCTAATGATGGATGACCATATTTAGGTTCTGATCGTCCTGTAGTAGGGAGGCTGCTTGTGTAGATCCTTGATGGAACACATTCGGGGAACTTTGCTGCTTTCCCTGGAACACAAGTATAAATATACAAGCCAAGAGAAGTACCAGTTATTATTGTCAAAAACAGTGCAGCTTTAATCCGCGAGATTGTACTTGTTGGTCTTGTAAATAAAAGTCTCATGTTGGTAGAAAACCAGCTCAGCAAAAAAACTGACATAAATAATACCAAAATAATATATAGGGCCGAGGATAGTAGTTACTGTAGTAGTAGTCTTGGTCTAACGGCGATCATAGAACGGGACCACCCCAATTATAGCTCTATAATTAACCATGGATACTACAAATTGACTTTAAGTGAAGACTTTTCCCACCACTGATGTATAATTATCATTAACAGAATGAGTTCATAGACAAGCATTCTAAGCCACACTAAAGTATGTGATCAGGTCTGATGTCAGAGAAACCAGTGAATGACCTCTCACTATACAGTGCTGGAGCTATACCTTTCTCATACAGCACGTGTTTAGTAAACATATGTACTGTATGGTAAAGGTTCTTGCCATGCAGTTAACCTTGCTTAGGAATGGTAATTCAAGTGGTGGCTGCAATTAGTGAACTAACATTATTGATATCAAATGCAATGTGACATACTGTATATTACATATATATAATGCTGGTAACATAATGGCATGGTTTCTTAATGGTCACTTTATTATTAGAACCATTAACACTGAGTTTCCATCTAAACACTTCTTGTAATTCCACAAAATTATCCTGTGGCATTACACATTCAAAACATGGATCAACCTGAAATTAATATGCCAATAGTCTAAATGAATGAAGTGTCAAAAACATTAATAAAATGCCATACCAAAGTCTCCAATAGCAGCTTCATATGGACTCAATGGGCCAGTATACCTTTCAAGTGAGACAGTGACTTCAAAAGGAGCTTCAAACATCATTATATGACTTCCCATAGTGGTAGCTACAGCATTACTATCTTCTAATAAAGGTTCAAAACTTATTTATTATGATCGCTTTAGATTCACAGTAATTATGCCAAGAGTGAAAAAAATAACAATCCATTAATTATTTCCACTCCTACTAGATAGGTGATCTGTGGTCATACAATGATAACTTCATAGGGCAATGATCATAGAGGGCAATTGACTTCAAGAACATAGAGTATCAATTAAATACTATATTTTTATTGTTTATAAAAATTATTTTAAAACAATCCTTTAAAATCAGTTATTCTATCTTTAGTGGGAGTACTCAAATTATACGCCATCATTGAAGCACTGTCACCCTCTAGTGGGACGCACATTGTTGCTATCGACACACTTTCGTCACTCTCGCCAAAACTAACGCTTTTTCGTTTGGGCGTGGTCTTGTCTGGAGTCTTTAAAATAGAGCGAAGAGGAGTGGTAGGAACAGAGAGGTCTGAACTAAAAGATTCTGACTTGATAGGAGTTTTAAAACCAGCAGCAGCAAGAGGAGAGTAAGTGAGAGTCCTTGCACTGGCATAGGATCTTAAAATATTATCAGTGAACATGTCGGGGGATTGTGGTGGGGGCGGGGCTCGAGATCTTGTGGGTGTGGTTGGGTTATTAGTGGGCGTGGTGTCTGTGGTAGAGGGTGTCACCCATTCTCCATGTAATAATGAATGAAGGACAGCAGGAGAAGGATCCTTATTGAGTACTGGGAGAAAGAGAGAAGTAATCCATTATCTACTTAATAGTACGGTAGTAGTTTTACTAATTTAGTTTAGTTACAAAATTTAATTCTAGTGTAGCTTTACTGGCTTAATCTATTAGTTTTAGTTTCAACCTTTAAAATTATATTTCAGACACATAATAACAAATTAAAATATTTTTGGTTAGTTAACTAAAGGTGAAAGGTCAAACTAAAAGTACAGCTCTATAATTTAACTATACATGTAGCTTTATTTAATTAAAAAACACAAGAAAAAAGAAAGAAGCAATTAAATGTACATTGTAGAAGGAAATGATGCACATTTGTACACTGTACCTGTATTTCCACTTGGTTTATATGGAGGTGTATTGAATTGTATGTCAGTCTGGTTAGTTAATTTTAATTTTGAGGAATAAAATGATCGTTGAGGTGATTCATCAATAAATGACACGTCTTCCATTGAGTCCACCCCTAGTTTACTTCTAGTGGGAGGGGCTCATTTATAATTATTATAACGAGGTGTGGGCGTACCTGTTTCTTTGTAATTTGAAAAGACGATAGTTTTCTACTTGCTTCTTGACAGGTGTCTCCATTGCAACTACATCATCTTTGAGAAAGAAACAATTTACATGTAAATTCTCTGTCTGTCTCCCTCCCTCTCTCTCTCTCTCACCCTTTGACTTTTCCCTATGTCTCTTCCTTCCTTTGCTGCTTCTCTCTCCTCCCTCCATTTTGACTTCATTCAGACTAAACAAGCTCCTTCTACAGACAGTCTCTACAATAAAATCAATATTTTAAAAATAAAATGCATAACTAATTGAACTCACTTGACGCATTATCAACCTAAACAATATACTAATAATTTACAAGAGTATACTAGTATGAACTGACTTTAGATTTCTTTGATATACTAATCTGTCTAGACAATGCCGGTCCTTGTAAACTGGCCCTTCGAG